GCCCTTGCAATAAAACAAAGATAAGAGCGGGGCCGCACTGACCTCCTGTATCCCTCACTGCAGCTTTTGTTTCCTCCTGACCTCTCTTACATGCCTGCCATCTCCCCTGCTCTAGACAGTGATAAGCTGGACAATGAAGGCTGTTAGCCTGCAATAAGAGACAAGGATAAAGGCTCCCCATGCCACCACAACACAGACTGAGTGATTGATTACCCAGGCGTAAAGAACTTAGGGTGATGAATTGTACCTTAAATAGTCGGATTAGGGCTGTATGAACTGTACATCTTTGACATTTGAAGCTTTTATTGAGGTTTTGGGATAAACTGTTTTAATGTCTCTTCATCACACTTAATAATGTTATAAATTGATTCAGACAACAGCTGAAATTATTTTGTAGACTAATGGATAAATAGGTGAAATTAAATATATTTTGTAATACTTCTTAAAGTAAAAGTTAATGCAAAAATGTCTTAAAATGCTGTTTTAAATACAGAAATGTACTGATTTTCTCTGTAGAGTTTTATATCATTAAAATGTAATAGTTGAAGGTTTGTGACTGACAAAACAAGACAATTAAAGACATCCACTTGAACTTTCAAACACCCGAAGGATGTCATTTCCCTATTTCTGAAATGTAATAGACCAAACAATGAATTGAGAAAATAATTGTTTTTTGCAGACCTACTAACCACTGGAATCTTATTCTAGAAATACTGTCTTGTAATTATATTAGTATAGCACATTTTTTACATGCAACTGTATTTATGCAAAAGAAATGAGATTTAGAACTTGAATGTCAACAATGTCAACTGTTTGGTACAGTCATAATGAGATGTGTGCTTCTTAAGGTCAGTAGGCATCTCTGGTCTCTGCAGAAGTCGAGGGATAAACTCTACAGCTACCAAGTTAATTGCCAAAGTGTTTACCTGCGGTGACTGTGTCTCTCTCCTTTAAACTTTGCTCTTCTACACTCGCTCTCAGCTGGATTTCAAAACGCCTGGAGAAGCCTTCCTTGGGTTTCCAAAGCGACTGCAGTAACAGGGGCTTCTCGTTGTCTCCCACCACCCGGAAACACTCCCTCTTCCACTGGTTGTCTGCGCCCGTCTGTCCAATCACATCGCAAAGCACGTAGTCGTTGGGGTCTTCTTTCTCCAGGCAGTACCTGAACAAAAACAGGTTGCATTTTAGACAGGAGGACTTAGCTTTGTGGTGGACATTAAACCATTTTTTGGGTCAGTCCACAAACTTTGTCCAGACTGAATTATATCAACAACTATTAAATGTTAATGTATTACATTTGATACAGATATTCATGCTTCCCTCAAGATGAATTGTAGTAAATGTTGTGATTGCTGATAATACTAAAATGCTACTAGGCTGAATTGAGATGGTAAACTTGATACACATTGTACCCAGCAAGTTAGCATTTAGCTTGACATATCGATTAAAAGAGCATCTAGAATGACTGTACGTTTTAGTTTTTGATTAACTGATTAAGCATTTAGCTCATCAAATTAAAGAAAACAGTGAAATCTGCTCATCCGTTTTTGGGAGCTCAAATAACTTAAGTGCTTGTTTTCTCAACCAAAAGTTCAAAACCTTAAAATTAATATGGAGCCAGTGTGCAACTATAGTTCTTATTTCAGTTCTACTTCCAGATATCAGATCCTCACTACAACTATTGTTGTGTGTAACTTTTCTTGCATTTTATACATTATCTCAGATTTAGAATATGCCCTGCACTTTAGAGAAACTTCTCACCTCTCCAAGGCCTCCTTCACCAGCTCCTTTGCACTGGACTGTATGGTGGCCAGCACGCTCTTGTAGTGGGTCCCTTGACAGATGTCGCTGCCGAATATCTTCAGGATGCCGGGGACAGACATTTGGCTGGACAGCTCTGCAGGGTCGTCTGCAGACTGAAGGCTCCCACTGCCCTGGCCGCGGCGGCCACTGCAGGGGCTTTGGTTGAAAACAGATGAAAGCCTGTTGTTGTTGTGGCGGCGGATTTTGCTCTTGGCCGGCTGCCGAACACACACGCTTTCTGTGGAGCGGACGATGGTGTCCGATTGGTTGGACCTAACAGGGGACATAGAAGACAACAAACACTGTTTAGTGGCAAGGCTTAAATAAACACATGGAATAATAAGTCCTATATGTGTGTCTAGAAGTGGCTTCATTTATATCCAGACAAGAGCTGCAACAACTAGTCAGTATATCAATTAGATCCATTACATTTTACAGACAGCCTTAAGTACTAGATACTTTACATTTGCAGATAAATAATACAAAATGTAAATCAAGTAGATGATAATAAAGTTAAACCTTATATTAGTAGTTCAAATGAGCTACACATCTGCAACATTAATAATCTTAGTCCAGGAATATAATATAGATTATGAAAGGGGCCATACTGCATAATGAGTACTTTTACTTTAAGTAGTACTTTAAGTATATTTTAAATATGTACACTTTTGCACTACTCACTATTAAATGCATGACTTTTTATGTACCAGATTATTTTATTACCCTTTTGTATTGCTATTTGTACTTATAGTAAAAGCATAACATCACAGTACTGTTTCCTCAGTCTGTGTTTATATCTTCGTCAGCATGCTAATTACAGGGCTGTTAAAGGTAAATGAGGACTTACTGCACAGACCCATTGCTGGGTTTCCTCCCCAGTTTTGCCAGTCGCTTCTTTGGAGAGCGGATGAGTAAACCCACCGGGAAGTTTAGGGCTTGTTTATTTACGTGGCTGCTTCTTTCCTCCGAAATCATTTTGGTTTTGAATTCACGTAAACCAAACAAAATGACCGTAACTGTTGGGGAAATGACCAGAATATAGCATTCTTTGCCTCAAGCTAGGTGATGAAAACTTTACTTTTTTCCAAGGGAATATTCCAATTCCACCTCCGAAGAAATACCCTTATCAAATCACAAAAAGGTGAACAAATACTCCAATATTATCTTTGTAACGGTATCCATTAGGTAAACAATTGGAGTTATATATTTAAAAAAAAGTTAGCTTGTTACATTCCGACACACGTTAAAATCAAAAGAGCGCCAGTAGGTGTAATACTTCCCATAAAATCTGTTTTCTTCAAGAGAAAATCCAAACTGAGACGATTATTCAGCAGAAGAAAAAGAAGTAGAGACATTTCCACACACCGTTTGTCCGTTTCTGACTGGCAAGGGACAGAAACAAGTGAAAAAGCAGCCCCGGCGGTACATAATAACAACCGTGAGATCCGTTAACTAACTTGGAGCGGACTGAATGAAGAGAGGGACTCGCTGCTGCTGGAGGCACGAGCTACTGCAGCTGACGTCACTGCGGCGTCTCGAGGGAGGCGGGACAAAAACACAAACATAGACATAAACTTACTCATACAGACATACACACATGGACCCATTAATTATACATAGGGAGGAGGACCAAAGGTTATTCCGAAGATCTACTTGGTGTCCTCATTATTATAAGAACATCTGTTATATTATTTAGATTGTACATCAAAAAAGAAAACATAATTTAAGTAATTGGGATGTAAGAAACATATCACAAATCATTTGTCCTAATGGTAATTTTTTGCATCACACTTGTAGCCAACCTATGGATGTATGGAGAACTATTCCTGAGTTACAAACGCTCCTCTGCTGCCCCCTTCTGGCCTGGACCGGATCTAACATCAGGTACAGTTTGTCATTAAAAAAGAAATATAATAGTATGCCATAGAAAGTAATATTATACAAATATTTTGAAAAGTTCATAGAATGGATGCGATATAAAGTCATACAAGTCTAGTATAGTATTTAAAAAGAACTAAAAGATAAGATGCAAAGTAAAGAAATCTTGAAAAAGGCCATGATTGTAAGTATATAAAAGGTCTAGCATATAAAAATCAATAGTGTAGTTTTCCATAAAAAGGTCATTACATAGTTTAAAATATACACACATATGAATAAATATATTGTTAATGTTATCAAATCAAATCAAGTTTTATTTATATAGCACATTTATAAACGATTTTTGGTCGAGCCAAAGTGCTGTACAAATAATAAAAATACCCTACAGTAAAGACATTTTACAGCTAATACAACATCGTTATCGTATTGTCATTCTCTTAGTGATTTATTTTTAAACAAAATCCATACTATTAACCTTTTATCAGGTTGCAGTTGTGACATGTTTTAGCAATACAGAGACCTAAAATGTTTCTTATATTTTTTACCTTTTTTACCGGAGCGAAGCCGATAAGATCCTGTGCATTTTCGGTTTATGTAGATCCTTAGATAAGGAGGAAGAGCACCAATAATTATATATAAGGATGTGCCAGTGTTTCAGTCTACACATGACTTTTAAGGAGAGTTAATTTCTCTGTCTTGAGAAAAATACATATTTATAATATGATAATGTATCTTATAATTAATCATAATAATAATATAAATAATAATAAACAATTGTCTCTTTTGTTAGACCACAGAAATCAAAAGACTAATTGATGTTAAATTTCAACCTTCTCAGGACATGCTTTACATATTATATTCCGTGTCAAAAAATGTATTAAATCAGAATCAGAATCAGAAACAGGTTTATTACCAGGTAGGTTTACACTTACGAGGAGTTTGACTAGGTGTCGTGGTGCATACATACATAGTAAAACAACAATTAAAACACAGATAGAGAACTATAAAAAATATTTAAAATAATAACAAATATAGTAAAATACAAATATAACAGTATTTGAAAATGACACCTGTATTATCAGTTCAACTGACTTGTACAACTATAACCAAATTCTCCTAAAGGCTATTTCAGATGTATTTATTTATTCAGAAATGTAAATCACTAATGACAATATCACTTGTCCTTTCTGATGAGGTGCATGCAGTGGTGACCTGTAGGGGGCAGTGCAGTGGTGACCTGTAGGGGGCAGTGCAGTGCCTCCTGGCACTCAGTTTGCCGGAAATGCACGCAACGTAGAAGAAGAAAACACCGAAGAGAAGAAGTAAACCCGCGATACGCGAGCTAGAAACATGTAACGTTATTTCAAATTAATAACAGAAGACTTTCCTGAATTTTATCGCAATAATTGTTTTCAGAAATTAATAAAAGTCACATCCAAGACACAATGCGTATGTATACATAGACGTATGGGACGTTATAACACCACACAAAAAATCCCCCAAAGTTTAGATGTTTTACTCACACTAGCTAGTAGCCTACCTATTTCTGAAGAAAGTCCAAGAAGATGGAGGATATTGGGATGGAGGAAGACTCTGCCGAGATTTCGGGATCTGCACAGAAACAAGGGGTGGCTGATGCCTGGGAGACTGTCACTGCTGCTTTGGTGAGTGGACTCATCCCTGGACTACTGTAGTAACCCGGAGTCGCCATACTCCATTCAATTTGTTAACGATTTGAAGTTTTAATGCTTGTAGCGTCAGTCAATTTTGAGTGTGACACACCACAGCTAAGTCCGCCAACTAGTAATAGTGTTCGGTTAAATTCGGCGTACATAACACGCTGTCTCTACCTTTCTCTTTACTTGTAATAGTCTTCCTGTTGCTGTTCATTTATTTCATGATTTAATGTTTTCTTGCTCGTAACATTGGTCAGTACCTATTTGGCCATTAGGTAGGATAGTCCACTGATAAGTAGTGCTGTCGTTTTAAATGTGGCATGCATGCAGATGCATATAACACTGTTATTCTTTTTACTTATATTACTCTTATTGTTGCTAATTTAGGTTACTTAAACGACTACTCCACTACATTTCAGCTACAAATATCATACGTTTACTTCACTACATGTTTTAACATTCATAGACACTAGTTTTTTTTTAAATATAAAAAAACATGATGGGCTTATATGGTATGATTTCGTTTTGTAATACTCATGAAACCAGTATTTTAAATCTGAAGTGAATTCATGTTGACAAATAAATTTTTTTAATGTGATTCCACATTACATTTCATATAATTTGTCAGTGATAAAACAGAAATGTTATAATATATTACTGTTAAAATAGCCATTCTGCATAACAAGTACTTATAATGTTTGATACGTTGAGTCCATTCAGCTGATAATACTGTATTTTACTAATTTTACTAATTTAATGTGAAACGTATTGAATTCAATACTTTTTTAGAAAAGGGTTCTGAGTACTTCTTCCACCTCTGGATTAATCTTTCTTTATATTCCAGATGTCCCCTGGTGGCCCGGGGCCGGAGCAGGGCCTCTGGGACTCGTTGGCCCTGCTGAGCGGGGAGGGTCTGGGCCGGCTGCTGGGCGGCTGGCTGCTGGAGACCCTGCAGATGCGTCTGTCCTCCGCCGTGGTTCCAGAGTTCTGGGCCGAACTCAAACAGCCAGAGAACGAGCTGGAGGAGAGAGGCCGGGCCTGGGTTCTGCTCACCGCCTTCCAGACTCTGTTAGGACGACTGGAACCTTTCCTGGGCAAGTGGAACAATTAATTGAGTAGATGGGTTCAATACTGATCACTGAGGAAGAGAATAAGGGCCAGGCAGTAAGACTTTTTTGATGTTGAATTTTGAGAATTCAAGGATGAAGGGAAAATATTGGGAATAAAATCAAACGGTATTAATTCCTGGCATAGGGAAAAAAATATATAAGGTTTAGATTACATTTTAATTTAAAGAATAAAGTACATTTTTTAAGAAAAGTCAAACTTTTAGTATTAGTTCCAGGCATATAAGTTAAAAGAAATAAATAATTTTGGAGAATAAAGTCAAAATGTTCAGATTAAAGAAACACTTTTATCATTTGCGTAAGGCATAAGTAAAAAGAAATAAAAGGAGGATTTTGTATTTTAAGGTTCAACCTGATATTTTAAGTTTGAGTGAAATTGTTTAGAAAAAATCCAACTACTTTAGCTCTCTATCAGGGAAGCATCATTATTAAAACATCTCCTCTTCCTCCTCTCAGGTGGTCTGGAGAGGCTAGAGTCGTGGCAGGACGAGGGCCGTGGCAGTGTCTGTGGGCCGGGGCCCGGGGGCCTGCAGGAGCGAGCCTTCACCATCATCAGGGCCCTCCTCCTCTTCTCCCCCTCCCCCGTCCTCCAGGAGCGAGTGCTGGAGTTTTACAGCAGGACCTTCTCCGTCTACATGCACCAGGAGGGGCAGGCGGAGGACGGTGCCGAGGCTCCGGAGGGGCCCGAGGGAGGGGTCTGTCCGGGCTGCGGGGTCCCCACTCAGCAGTGCTGGTGTAAGGAGGCCCTGGAGCAGCTGAAGGAACTCAGCCACATACTGTGAGTGGACTGGAAGAAGATGAAGAACACTGCTGATTATTTCCAATGCACACACCCTTTAGTAATATTTCATGTAAGAAGGTATCGAGTGGTGCAGGGATGACTTGTTTTTGTAATCTGACCCTGAACTCAGCATCTCCGTGGTTCCCTCCACAAATTCCAATGTGATGTTTCCATTGGATTCCGAATGTTTGTGAAATATTAAGCTCCGTAGGGAACATTTTATAATTTTTGAAGCGTATATATAATCTCCAGGAGTAAAAAGCTAACATAAAGGAACTAAATCACGGTCATGACATTACTTCATGTCAATACCTTAGTTTGTTTAGCTAAGCTAAAGGTGGCTAATGTTTGGCGTGATGATGTAAACACTTGCTAGCAACCACTATTTTCAGCGAAACATAGAAGCTTCATAAATGAACAAGTGGGTTATTTACTGATGTATTCTATGTCCTACAACATAATCTCTTAACTTCAGCCTTATTTTAGGCATCCAACCAAAAACCCATTAAAAAAAACCCATTGACTTCCAGACGTGATAACCAGAGGTGATGAAATGCTGACTGCAGAGAACTAGCACATTGTTGCTTTGAGTTGAAATAAAGAATAATACAGAAGAACATCAGCATTATACGTTAAAGACATTGTAGATTTCAGCTAGACAAAATAATGCCTTTCATGTTATGTCATATCTTTTTCTTTTTTGTGGTTATAGATCCAAGCTGCAGCTGCTGGAGTGGGTGAGCTGCGAGGCCGTCACCTCCATCCTCCACAAGCTCATCGAGCAGCGCATGGAGCAGCACTGCAGGGGCGAGTACGAGCGCTCTTTCCTGCTCGAGTTCCAGACGGTAAAGCATCCATCAATGTTTCTTAAACGCACAATATTTAATGTTCTAAATGTGGTGGTATCATGAAGTAGTGTGGCGTCATTGGTTGTTCTATATTTTGCTGACACCTTTACAAGAAACCATATGAAACTACGACATCATTTTAGGGACAGTGTTTTTTTATAATCAGGGTAAATAGATTTATGAGAATGAAAAACTCTGAGACTTGTGGTAAATATACAATAAAGCGTTATGTTGACTTGAAAATATACTGCTTTTTTTCTGTCATTGTAAATATCTTTCACGGGATTATCACCCCTCCAAGATTTGTAATAGTTTTACCCTATCGACGTACAAACCCAACGTTAAATTGATAAAAATCTACACATTTTTGGGAAATATTTGGGATAATATCACAAAAGTTAAACCTATTTTACAAATAATCTCAAGAAATCTTGTCTTGACAAATGTTATATTGGTGATTGTTTTCTGTGAGCAGTGGCTGGAGCTGGTTCTGGGCTGGCTGAGCAAAGTGTTTGCAAGCGAGGCAGAAAAGGACGGTCTGGTACCTGCTCCTGGGGCTCCTGGTGCTCCTGGGGCTCCTGGTGCTCCTGGTGCTCCTAGCGTTCCCAGTACTCCCAGTCTCCAGGCGGGCCAGCCGGGCAGTTCCGTCCTGAAGCAGTGGAGATGCCACATGCACCAGTTCTTCTGCCGGATCTACGTCAACATGAGGATCGAGGAGCTCTTCAGTATAATCAGAGGTGAGACAGAAAACAGTTATATTGGGGTTATATGAACGTTTCCCAGACTGTCTAAGGTTTTTTCTTTTTAAGGTGTTTGGCCTTTTGACAATGCTAGGCTAAATGTGTTAACTCACAGTCTTTGTGCTAAGCTAAGCTAAATGCATCATGGACTTATCTGAAATGAACCTGCTTGTCGTCTCAAAATAAGGGAAATTGTAGTTGAGTTAGGGACAGAAATGTTTGACTTTTTTTTTTACTTTTGTACAACCCTGAATTACATTAAGGTGGAGACTTGCTTTTAAAATATAACAGAGGAAAAATGTTTGGAATCAAAAATAAAAAACCTAGATAAAAATGGTGTTTGAAAATTAAGCGAAAAAAGTCCCCAAAGCTTAAGATTGGTCTGCATGTAATTTGCAGGTGCACAATAAGAAAAACTGGATTTTTCAAGTTCAGTACAAATATCCAGCACCTGAAAAATAATCAAATCATTAGAGCATGTTTCATTAGGGCCAACAGCAACAAAGTAATATAAGAGGTTAAATAATACCTGAAAATAGGACCTGCAAATGAAATAGAAGCAAGTGTTTATCACGCCTCACAGAGAGAGTATGAGTACTAAATGATCTCTAGCAATACATCTTAGTGAAGAGTGATAAACAGCATCGAGGAATTTACGTGCACAGATTTACAGACATGTCCTGTTTTCCAATCTTTTTTCCAGATTTCCCAGAATCCAAAGCAGCCATTGAAGATCTGAAGTTTTGTCTGGAAAGAACCAACCAGAGGCAGCAGCTCCTCACTTCTTTAAAGTCTGCGTTTGAGAGCCGTCTGCTGCACCCGGGTGAGAACGCCTCTGCAACTAAAGAGCAGTGTTTGAAAAATGGTGAACGTGTTTTGGTGAGCTCTGCGTTTGTGTTTACACTAAGAAACACTTTTATATAACTAAGCTGTGTTGGATGAGTGTTCCTTTAACTCACTCTTGTTGTGATGATTGGACTTGTTTGGAATATCATTTTGATCACCTAACTGGTTTTTGTTTCATATTATTAATATAAATACACTATTGTATATTTTGACATTTTTCTTGTTATATTTGTTTGGGCACATTTATACTTTAACTTCTCTGTTTGTATACATATATTTCATTTAAATTGTATTTTTTTGTTTATTTATTTATTTGTTTCATTTTAACATAGAGCAACGGTTACAAAATCCCCTAGGACCAATACAATATTTTAATTGCTTGATTGATTGATTAAAGAAAACAGAAATACAATATACATGTTACTATCTGCAATATCCCTTTAATAAGCCCAATATGTACTTCTGCAAATCTACTATCTATTTGTCTTTACATGATCTTCACTAATACACTATTTAACTATCTAATATGTGCAACAGTATATGTTGAGTGATAACACAGCAGAAGTTGAACTAACCTGTCTTTGTTGATCTATCCTCCCTCAGGGGTTCACACGTCAGATATCCTCACGGTTTACATCTCGGCCATCAAAGCCCTCCGAGAGCTGGACCCCTCCATGGTCATCCTGCAGGTCGCCTGCCAGCCCATCCGCAAGTACCTCAGGTGAGGGCATTCAAACACCACTTCCTGAGGAGGGTTACAACACCAAAGGCTAGATACAACGTTATTATATCAGCCTGATGGGGGTGCTATAACAGCCAGAGGAGTGAACATTTTGAAAGGCTGACACTCCTTGACTTGACTTTTTACAGTTATCCCAATGTCATCTACAAGAGAGCCAGTAGGACGATGGATGCCACCATGATGGATTAGGAGCTAATGTGTGATGAGCAGACATGTTGGGTGTTTCTCAATGTCGAGTAAAGCTGCTCCAGAGCCACTATTTCAAGCATACTACGTCATCGAGTGCCGCTGAAGGACTGTTCCAATGTCCAGCATACTTGGAATTCTACCGAGCCCGGCGTACTTCGTAGCGAGAAATTTCGAGGCTGCACATGAGTAGACTCCGCGGTCTTAAAATCCCCACAATGCTTTGCGCACGGACCAATTTCCCCAAATATGTGGCGGAAAATGTAAGGCGGGGCCTCTCATATGACGCACACCTGCACACTTGCTCGCCTGTTCCACTCTTTGTTTTCCGAATGCCAGGAAGTATTCTTGCCTCGCTTCTGAAGCAAGTGACTAGGAAGACATGTGCTACCAAGCAAGCGTACTCGACATTGAGAAACACCCGTTGTCTCAGGGAAACATTATACATGAGCAAAAAACATGGCCGACATTGAAATAGGAATTAATAGAAAATATTGTTGTACTTTTTACTCTGTTTGATAAGATCATTTGAAATACCTGGGAGATTCAGATTAATAGTACAAAATAAAATCAACTAATAAGTATCATTATAATTATATGCAAATAGATATCAAATGTTTTGTTTTGGTGAAATGTAAAACTTAACCTGCAGGATGTGTAGTCAAATACAAAAAAAGTCTTCCTTCGTTGACTGCAACCTCAAAAGTGATGTTCACCTGAAAGCATCAATAATGATAAACCAATAATATAATATATATTATTCTGAAAGAGGCGGTTGTTAGTACTTTTACTTTTGGCAATTGAGGTATATTTTGATTCAGACACTTTGGACTAAAGTAACATTTTCAATGCAGGCCTTTCACTTCAGGTTTTATCGTTATATTTAAATGTATTTAAAATATCTTTGTGATTGTGGTTGAAGGACCCGGGAAGACACGGTGCGGCAGATCGTGGCCGGCCTCACCGGAGACGCTGAGGGCTGCACTGATTTAGCCTCGGAGCTGTCCAGAGGAGACCCGGTGACTCTGGAGATGCAGGACAGCGATGAAGAAGGGGCCGACCCAGAGGACTGGACTCCAGACCCCACCGACGCTGTTCCTGGTCAGTGAATGCATCATGTGTTTCTTCCATAGACTGTATATATAAAGGTTTCTTCTGAGGCTTTTGGGGCTCATTTGGCTATAATTACCAGCTAGCTAAACACTATACCGCTAATTACACAGCTTCTTACTTAAAGGGGACCTATCATTTAAATATAGCATGATAGGTCCACTTTAACACATCACTAATTGATGATAAAGATTGTATTACTTAAAAATAATTGGTCTGTTTTAGTATTAACAGCTGGAGCTGCGCAACAGCAACATAACTTAGAATGACCGCAGCACTGATAGAGGTCATAACTCTTTTTCTTTTTACTGGGGATTGTTTAGCAATCATGAATCCAGAGTTACGTGCTTTCCACATTTTAAAATGACATTTCCAAAAGTATTACATGTTTTTTTCTGATGGAGTAATAGAAAACTATTTTTGCCACAAGGCAAAGCAAGTTTATTTATATAGCACCTTTCAGCACACGGCAATTCAAAGTGCTTTACAAAATAAAATAAAAGACATTTAAGAAGAAATACAGCAGAAACACATAATGTAATGGCATTTAAAAACAGGCATTAAAAAGCAAAGATAATCAAATAAACACAACATGTATAGAATACATGAATAAAAGCCATACTGCAGTGTGGATATAAACCGCTCAATCAAAAGCAGCGGCAAAAAGATCCGTTTTCAGTCTGGATTTGAAAGTAGTAAGAGTTGGAGCGGACCTGCAGGATTCAGGGAGTTTGTTCCAGTTAGTCGGGGCAGCTAAACGCTGCTTCTCCATGTTTAGTTCTTACTCTTGGAACAGAGAGCAGACCCGTCCCAGAGGACCTGAGACTCCTGGATGATCCATAGTTATGCAGGAGATCGTTAATATCATTTGGTCCTAAACCTTTCAATGCTTTAAAAACCAGCAGCGGTACTTTAAACTCAATTATTTGACAGACTGGAAGCCAGTGTAAAAACTTCAGAACTGGAGTGATGTGATCCACTCTTTTAGTGAGCAACTGAAATATAAGTTATTACATTCACTAGACCTCTTTCTGGGGAAGGATTTGACTGAAGGTAGACCTGTCATCAGACCGGAGGATGTCTATAAAAGTAATCACAATCGAGTATTGATCTGCTTTTGTTGTATTTTCAGATAAGATGGGCTCGAAGCGTCGCTCGTCAGACATCATCAGCCTGCTGGTCAGCATCTACGGCAGTAAGGACATCTTTATAGACGAATACAGAGCCGTGCTGGCAGACAGACTGCTGCACCAACTCAACTACAACACCGCCAGGTACACCTGAACATCACTCTTTTCTGTGCTATTCTACCCAGACAGATGATACAAATTAAGAACAAAAATGCTTTAGTACATACTGCTCTTCCAAATATATATAGAGCAAACAAAAACAGACTCTTTACAGAATCCTCCTGTGTAATCAGCACAAAAAGCAGCTTCAATAACAACGGGACAATGTGCTACAAATACATTGTAATATGAGTTGTATGCTATTTACCAGATTCAGAAATCAGCTTTATTGCCAAGTCCTTTTTACTTTCTACTCAAATTAGGGATCTCTATGATTGATTACAGCAGTAACAGTGGAACTTTATTCCATAGATTATAGTTTCCTACGTGGGTTTTCACATTAAAGAAATTGATTTTTTAGTTTTAACATAAGAAAAAAGTACTGCAAGTACTGCATCCAACAAATATAAATAGATATTATTAATAGGACTTTAACTTAGTGGTATTTGCAATTATGTACAAGTTGGAAATGGGTATTTACTTAAAACAATACAGAGCATTTCCGCAGCTTTAGGTAATATCTTAAATCCTAGATTCTTAAACATAGTTTGAAACGTACTGTGTCCAAAATGTTCTTTTGATGGTTTTTGTTCTCTGTTGTGTTTGCAGAGAAATCCGTAACGTGGAGCTGCTGAAGCTCCGGTTTGGAGAGTCCCACATGCATTACTGCGAGGTCATGCTGAAGGTAAACACTGATGATGTTTAATCACTGTAATCTCAGCGTGGATCGTACTCTTTACATCTGCGGCAGATATACTCATTTAAAGACAAGCACAATGCCTTATTCTTTTTTTATTGAGTAGTATTTGGTCAGAAAACGCATGACACCAGGTTCAGGTTATTTTATTGGTACGCCTACGCTAGAATTAAGTTGACAACAATGATTCCACTAAGTTCATTTTAGAAAAAGGAACTAAATTAATGGACTGATAAAAAAAAAAAAGGGAATTAATAAAATAAAAAAGGAATTTAATTAAACAACTAACTAAAACACTAGAGAACTATTTTACTCTATTTTTGGACTTATTAAAAAGAAATGTCATTAATTAACAAAAAAAGGTAACTTAAACAACTTACTAAGACAATAGCAGAAAATAATAAATTCAAATAACAGAAATAATCAACCAAATAAAATAAATAGTTGCTCAATTAAGCAACTACTTAAAAAAAAGAAAAGAAAATGACGACTGTTTTGCTTGGCCCACACACCTTCCTTCCTCCTGTCTCAGGACATGGCGGACTCCCGGAGGATCAACAGTAACATCCGGGAGGAGGAGTCCCGTCTGAGCGAGGAGGAGCAGCCCCCCCTCTCCCTGTCCTCCATCATCCTGTCCTCCGAGTTCTGGCCTCCGCTGAAGGAGGAGAAGCTGGAGCTGCCCCCCGTCGTCTGCCAGGCCATGGAGGCCTACACCCACCGCTACGAGAAGCTCAAGGTGGAGCTCACAAACCGTCACATTAGATTAGAACAACTGTATTGATCCACACATTTGGTAAACAAACAGTATAAATAAACATATGAACAGCAGTTTGTCTCCTGTTTCAGGCCATGAGGACGCTGAGCTGGAAGCCTCACCTGGGCTCCGTCACTCTGGACCTGGAGCTGGAGGACCGCACCCTCACCAACCTCACCGTGTCCCCCATCCACGCTGCCATCATCCTGCACTTCCAGGACAAAAGTACGATCTCTCATGTCCTGGTTTCTCCCCTGCATTTGCTGGATTCTTTTTTCTTGTGCACAAGACATTTGAAGATTAAGGCTCATGCTGTCATCTTGTTTTTATTAATTTATTAGAATTCTTTTAAACCATAAAATGCTAAATAATTGAGATATGTACGCACAAATAATTAAAGGTCCCCTATTATACTGTTTTTCATTACTTTATTATAGGTTTCAGATATATACAAAACATGTCTCTGAAGTGTTTGGCTGAAACACCAAACAGATCATTGCAGCATCCCATAATCCCCTCTGTTTCAGCCCTGTTTCAAAAGTGCTGATTCACTGGGTGTTTCTCAATCGCGAGTACGCTTGCTTGGTAGCACATGTCTGCCGAGCATCTTGCTTCAGAAGCGAGTCAAGAATACTTCCTGGCATTCGGAAAACGAAGAGTGGAACACGCTAGCAAGTGTGCAGGTGTCCGCCACAGATTTGGGGAAATTGGTCCGTGCGCAAAGCATTGTGGGGATTTTAAGACCGCGGAGTCTACTCATGTGCAGCCTCGATATTTCTCCAAACGGAGTACGCCGGGCTCGGTAGATTTCCAAGTATGCTGGAGATTGGAACAGTCCTTCGGCGGCACTCAATGACGTAGTATGCTTGAAATAGTGGCTCTGAAGCAGCTTTACTCGCGATTGAGAAACACCCTCTGTCTGTAGCTTAAAATGCTAATGAGCTGCTGCTGGCCACGCCCCTCTGAGAGATATTTGGTTAAAAAGAACGGTGCTCTAGGAGGAGATTCAGGTGATAAGGTGGGGGGGGGGTTACCTTGGTTGGTTATTGGCTAATGGTCACACAATCCAAAAACACATTGTGACATCACAAAGTGGCCAAACTCTGATCAGCTCATTTTCAGACAGGATTTTATATAAATGGATCAGGACAAAAAGTGAGCGAATAATTTTTTTCTGAAACTTTCCGAATCTCATATTTATGTATAAAAGTAGATTTTGCATAATAGCTGACCTTTAACAGAAAAAACACTGAGTCTATATTTAAATCCGTATAAGCTTTTTTATGCATTTATAAAGTACCCCCCAATTTCAAATGTTTTTTTTTCCTTTTTGTCCTCGTCAGGTTCCTGGACGCTGGAGGAGCTGAGCGTGAAGCTGGGGGCCCCGAAGGAGCTGCTGCACAGGAAGCTGGCTCTGTGGCAGCAGCACGGCGTGCTGAGGGAGGAGGCGGGGGGGGCGCTACTACGTGGTGGAGACGGGCTCGTCCAAAGAGAAGATGGACAGGGGGGTGATGCTGATCGACAGCGACGAGGAGAGAGACTCCAACACCACCACCCAGTCGGAGCAGAGGGAGGAGAAGCTGCAGGTGAGCATCACTCACTGCTCTCATTCAGTACACATCTTCTACATATCAGAGAGAGCTGCGTCTGATCTCTGGGTAGACTTTCTTTAGATTAACCTGCACATATTATTGTAAGAAACGGTTATCTGGAAAATTGCATAATTTCTTTGCTTGATGGCGTGGAGAGCTTGGTTACCATGCTGTGCCTCTTGATCTGGAAGTCTCTATAACCACACTTATTTCAATTATCTAATAATTAGCAGATTTCTTTCTTGATAAATCAATGAAATGCTATTGAATAAACTGGCAGACTATCAACATTTCCATTCCAGTTTCTCAAATTCAAATGTGATTTACATATAGTGAGTAATTATTAGGGATGTCCCGATCACCTTTTTTTGCTCCCGATCCGATTCCGATCATTTGATTTTGACAATCTGCCGATACCGATTTTTCCCGATCCGATCTTTATGCAATGCATTAAGAGGAAAAAAAAGGTAACAGATAACGGCTGGTCATCCAACGCGATGAATTCAGCTATCTTGGCTGTTATTTTGTTGGCCTTTTCACTGTTCTGGGGCAGTTTCTCTTTCCTTTTAAAAGTCTCTGAAAGTGTTGGTTGTTTCAGTGCCGTTACCTGAGTGGCCGCTGTGTACTCGTCGTGTTGTTGTTGGTGGTGTTTGTATTAGATTGGTCATGTTGAACGTAGCTCTGTTCTTTCCACCACGCGGAACCTCCGCCTTGCAAACATTGCATCTGGCTGTTACACTGCCTTCGCTTTCAATTTTATAATACTTCCAAACTCCTGACATTTTCTCTGTCCCGACTCCCGAGGCACCAGCTGAACGTAGCCTCTTGTTAGCTTACTGCTACTATTAGACACTGCGCCCACTCTGTTGCCAGATTTGAGAGAAATAAGCAACCAGGTCTATGAAAACAAGCCCAAAAGAAGCAACACATACATGATGTTGTGTAATTTTAACCCAAAACTAAGGCCTCAGGATGACTTTAAGACGTGAACATGGTCATTTTTGTTTTGTAACATTAAATAAAATGTATAAAAATATTTTATAAAAAAAAAAAAAAAAAAAAAAAAAAATTCCGATCCCCGATTTTTTTCTCCCGATCCCCGATCACGTGAAAATCACGTGATCGGCTCCGATCCCCGATCACGTGATCGGATCGGGACATCCCTAGTAATTATTATTATAGTTAGCAATTCATTTTCTTTGGCTCGTCTTGAGCCACTTCACCACTGCAAACAACACGACGTTGATTCGACGCACAGATTCAATGTGAATGTGTTTATTTCTGATCTTTTAGCTATATTGAATGTCATTTTTTATATTTGGTCACCACGTTCACAAAGGTGAATGGCAAGAACAGTAAGCATCCAGGTAGCATTGTAATTTAATAATTTAAATATAAAGGTGAATTACCCTCATGTATAAATGATACATACAATGATGCCCTAATTAAATGCATGATTCATGTTAATAGAGATACAAAATGCATGACAAAAATAGCCCCAAAACATTTTAAAGTATTTATTGTTGATATATATTATATTAAAAGGTGCACATTTTCACATCCAACATATTTTTCACAACTTCTCTATGGGATAAATAAAGTATAATGATTTTGATGATGGTCAAGACATTACAAAATACTGATAGAAAATAGTGCAAGTGACATAATGGTGCCAGTTAAATGCAGGAATAAGTAGGATAAATAATATATAAAGTTTGAATGGCTTATAGAGTTTCACAAGTCATGTTTGTGTAAAGCTCCCCATGTAGTTTAAAATAATAATCAACCAGACGAAAAGGCCCTGCATAACTTCTGAACCCCCTCCTCTGCAGTTGTTCTGGGCCTACATCCAGGCCATGCTGACTAACCTGGACAGCATGACGCTGGACCGCATCCACTCCATGCTCCGGATGTTTGTCGCCACGGGACCCGTCGTCACGGAGATGGACATTAATGAGCTGGAAGGCTTCCTGCAGAGGAAGGTGAGGGAGCATCAGCTGCTGGTGTCTACAGGCGTCTACAGGCTCCCCAAAGCAAACTGATGGGAATGGGGGGGGGGGGGGACAAGGAGAGTGTGACAGCAGTACTAAAGGTGCTGATTGCAGCTATAAAAATGACTTTGTGCAGACAGACTTTTATCTGATTAACTCTGACATTTATGTGACAAGCTGAAAGAATTCATTAACTTCAGAGTTATTTTCATCAGCGTGTCAAACTGGATTTTCACGTGATGTATGAATGCAGCATTTTCTTACTGGGGCATTCCTCTGAAAAGTTGGATTTCAAAATAAAAGCACTTCGAATCAGTGCAGTGTTTTGATGCTGCTTCCACATTGCTGTGGTTACTGGTGTTGAACACAAATGTATTGTTAATATGAAAGCTCTTTAATGTCTCCTGTGTGTGTCTACTTCAAATGAACCAGGAAGGACACTATATTTGTACTTACTATGGTGTTTAAACAATGCTCAATCGGTACTAAGGGGCCTAAAGTATGCCAAGAAAATATCCCCCTCACCATTACACCACCACCACCAGCCGCAGCAGAAATCAAGACTCATCAGACCAGGCAACATTTTTCCAATCTTATATTGTCCAATGTTGGTGAGACTGTGTGAATTGTAGCCTCAGTTTCCTGTTCCTAGCTGTGACAGGAGTAGAACCTGGTCTTCTGCTGCTGTAGCCCCTCTGCTTCAAGGTTCCACGTGTTGTGGTTCAGAGAGGGTCTTCTGCATACCTTTGTTTCAACGAGTGGTTATTTGAGTTACTGTTGCCTTTCTATCATCTTGGACCAGTCTGGCCATTCTCCTCTGACCTCTGGCATCAGCAAGGCCTTTCCCCCCAGAGAACGGCCGCTCACTGGATATTTTCTCTTTTTGGGACCATGTTCTGTAAACCCTATGATTGTGTGTTAGAATCCCAGTAGATCAGCAGCTTCTGAAATACTGAGACCAGCCCGTCTGGCACCAACAACCATGCTACGTTCAAAGTCCCTTAAATCACCTTTCTTCCCCGTTCTGATGCTCTGTTTGAACTTCACCATGCCTACATGCATTGAGTTGCTGCCATGTGATTGGCTGATTAGATATTTGCGTTAACGAGGAGTTGAACAGGTGTACCTAATAAAGTGGCCAGTAATTCAATTCAATTGAGAATGATGCTGGACATTTTTTTTTTCAACTTTAAGACAACTTTTAGGAGTATCTGAGTCTTATTTTGAAGGAAGTGGTTATTTTCTTAAGATAAAAAAATCGACATACAAACCGAGTCTGGATTTATTGCTTTATTTGGATTTGGACACATTTGCTAGGCAACAGCATTTTATTAAAAAACAACAATAATATACTAATGAACATTTTGGGCCTGTCCTGCGTTGTTACACACACGTCTTGGATTACAGGCCTCAATCTAACTGAAATAAGACTGACCCATCACACAGGTTAGTGTGAGGTTACACTTTAGTAACAACTGCACCCAGTTCCCTTTCAGTGGTAAATACGTTTACTGTATTAAGACAAAAATTGGCACATAACAGTGGTTTACTAGTGCAAAGTTAAAGGACCGTACCGGAGATTAGATGTTTTAGCTCATACACCACAACCACACACTTTTAATCCATATCTAAAAATAGGGCTGCCTAATATATCTATATTATATCAATATTTCGACAACAGACTCCATATCGTCTCTGGTTTCGGATATCGTAATATTGTGTTGTCTTTTCCTAGTTGTAAAGGCTGCGTCACAGTAAAGTGATGTACTTTCCTAGGTGTTATATTGTTTCCTTTTAACTACTAATTCATTAAATCCATTTATAATTATTGATCAAAAATCTCAAATATATATTTTGTGAACGTAGTCATTATCACAATACCCCGGGTACAAAGATATTTGATTTTGTTTTCATAAGATATCTTTACGATTTGTTTTGTTGATAAAAAGGCAACAATTTTATCTCTGCAATAACCATCACAGTTGCAAGGGGAAAAAAGCCAATTGAGTGACTACATTTCCACTCGGACTTTTGCTTTGTGTTCTGGAATCTTTTATGAATTTTGAGAATTGCAGGTAGGACTTAATTGCCACTTCCTGTGTACATTTTTTATTATAAAGAGCACTTGGTAGTTTTCCCGTACATCAGGCGTAGACAACACTGTGCATCTGTCATGTAAAGGGCTTAAAGTGAGTCTCATAGGGGTCACTTCCTGTTGCTTGTGGAGCTATCACTATGAGTAAATATTGACATGTAGATGTCTTCAGGTCTGTCTTATATCCGTCATCTGGTGAGGCTAAACACATACTGTGAAAGAAAGCGCACTACATTTCATGGCATCTGTCCAATAGCTTTAAACATTTCTTGTGTTCAAGTTGAAACGTAATGTTGGCAGCAAAGGAAGGTAAGAGGTCGCCCAAACGTTGAGATAATCTTGCACGCCTGAATATCAACATTTCAAATTAATCTGAGCTTTAATTTGTGGAAACTATGTTGAAAATGTATTTGTTTTGGATTAAATAAAAACATCTGGTAGCATCACCTGGGAAATATTTCACCAATGTCATTTTAAATTAATCTAGAAACTAATTAGCAGGTTAAAAGACTTTGAAACGTTATTAGTAGAGTCCTGTTACAAACAAAAAGTGTATGCAAACACTATGATCTATAGATGGTATTTTCAACAGCAAATCTGAGCATTTATTTATAGAACTGTCTGACTTACCAAGAAAGTCTCCATCTGCACGGCAGCGGAGCAAAATATAGGAAACGCTTTTTTTTTTTATACTACTACTTTACTTATATTTTGTGTTCCTATTATCCTTGTGTGAACTCTTACCTGTGTTTCACTCTTATTTCTGCTCTGACACCTGAAGGGCACGCTTTGTGTTTTTCTAATGAGCTAACAGTCTATGCTCTGCAGCTTCAAAATAGCATCTACAATGTGATTGTGGTAGTAAATGGGCTAAAGTCTCACAGAAAACCCCCAGAAGGATCCTTTAACTCGTTGACCCTCCAGGCTGCTACATGCAGTCAGTGCTGACAGACTGTAAACCCTCTGCCTCAGGTCCCCTCTCCACCTGCAGCCAGTGAACTCCACACTTCCAAACGTCTGCAGTTTGACACGCAGAGACTTTTCTCCTAAGGCACGTTTTCCCCATCTTGTCTGAATGCTCTTCGTGGTGGAGTCTGTTCAGCAGCATTTCTTCGCTCTCTTCCGGCGGTCCCGGTCTCGGTGGGAGTTGATGTTCACCGTGTCTTTCTCCCGCTCTCGCTCCCGCTCCGCTCGGTTCTGGCTCTGCTTCTTGGTCCGGAGCACCATGTGGGTGAAGGCCATGAACATCTGGACAAAGCAGGACGGGACATTTCAATTAATAGTTTTTAAAATGAAATTAATTAGGATTTTATAGATGGAATATGGGTTTTTTTGTAAGGTAAAAATAATAATACAATCAAAAAAAATATATATAAACACAAAAATCAAATAATTATAATAAACAAAAAATAATTATAAATAAAAAAATGCATAAGGATATAGAAAGATTGAACTTAACATTAATATTTATTTTAGGATTGATGTTCTATACATGGGCCAACTACCTGCAAACATGTATATATATATACATATACATATACATATATACATATACATATATACATATACATATACACATATACATATACACATACATACATACATACATACATACATACATACACACATATATATATATATATATATATATACACACACACATATACATACATACATACATACATACATACATACATATATATATATATATATGTAATGTCGAATACAGCATGGTGACTTTTTATTAAATCATTTTGAAGTTACCTCTTCCACGTTAATGTTTTCTTTGGCACTGGTCTCGAACACCCGAACCCCCATTGACTCCCCAAAACGCATTGCATCCTGGGTATCCACCTGTCTCCGGGTGGGGTCGTCACTTTTGTTTCCCACTAAGAGAGGAACAGGGGAAATTATACATGACTATTTTTCAGGACAGGAACAATTTCAACGTTTTATTATTATTTTCATCTCATTGCATATGAACAGACTAAAACAAACTGGGACTTTATCCTTAAGTTAGTATTGTGTATACTATCTTTTAATTTGTTTTCTCACTTTATCTATGAGAATTGCATAGAAAAGGAAATGATGATTTTAGAGAAACCATTTTAATTCCAATATTAGCTTTGTGATGATGCAGCTGTGAAGCCTCCAGTGGCCCTTCAATGAACTGCAGTGTCTGCCACTGTGTCAGAGCCTGAGAACAGTCCACCATGCAGATCACATGAAACACACTTTAAACTGAAATAAATACGGTGGACTCACCCAGGATCTTGCAGACGTTGTCACAGTTCTGGGAGATTTCGTTTAACCACCTCTTAACATTTACAAAAGACTCTGGATTTGTCACATCGTAAACTATAATGACCCCGTGGGTGTTTCTGTAGTACCTGCGCAAAGAAGGATGAATTCATGAAGTGATACACCATGGGGCTCAAATGAAAGATGAAAAGACAAAACAAAAAAATTGAAGGATCTTGTAAACTAAATATACGAGGAGAAAGTTAGTATGAAAATAAAATAAAACATGTTTATATCCTTGGTGAAAGATAGAAAGAAATGTGAAAATTAAGATGAGAATAAATTAAAAAAAAAGATTTTCACTGCTTTCTTTCTTTTTCTTCCTTAAATCTGTTGTTATTTGATGTATTTATTTGTTGTGTATGCCCTGTAACAATATCATTTCTTAAAAAAAAGAAAACATTTACAAAGAAAAGTGTGGAATATTGCTGAATATAAAAGCAGTGTTGTTGCGTGTAGGATTATTACGTTGAGGTGATGGTTCTGAACCTCTCCTGCCCTGCCGTGTCCCAGATCTGCAGCTTCACCCGCTCTCCATCGATGTCCACGGTGCGGATCTTGAAGTCCACCCCGATGGTGGTGATGTAGCTGCCTGCAGGAGAGGAGCGTAAAGCATCAGACCCACAGAGACAGACTGTACTGACCCACAGAGACAGACTGTACTGACCCACAGAGACAGACTGTACTGACCCACAGAGACAGACTGTAGTGACCCACAGAGACAGACTGTACTGACCCACAGAGACAGACTGTACTGACCCACAGAGACAGACTGTACTGACCCACAGAGACAGACTGTACTGACCCACAGAGACAGACTGTGCAGACCCACAGAGACAGACTGTACTGACCCACAGAGACAGACTGAACTGAGACTGTACTGACCCACAGAGACAGACTGTGCTGACCCACAGAGACAGACTGTACTGACCCACAGAGACAGACTGTACTGACCCACAGAGACAGACTGAACTGAGACTGTACTGACCCACAGAGACAGACTGTACTGACCCACAGAGACAGACTGTACAGAGTACAGACCCACAGAGACAGACTGTACTGACCCACAGAGACAGACTGTGCAGACCCACAGAGACAGACTGTACTGACCCACAGAGACAGACTGAACTGAGACTGTACTGACCCACAGAGACAGACTGTACTGACCCACAGAGATAGACTGTACAGACCCACAGAGACAGACTGTACTGACCCACAGAGACAGACTACAGACCCACAGAGACAGACCCACAGAGACAGACTGTACTGACCCACAGAGACAGACTGAGACTGTACTGACCCACAGAGACAGACTGTACTGACCCACAGAGACAGACTGTGCAGACCCACAGAGACAGACTGAGCTGACCCACAGAGACAGACTGAGCTGACCCACAGAGACAGACTGTGCTGACCCACAGAGACAGACTGTGCAGACCCACAGAGACAGACTGTGCAGACCCACAGAGACAGACTGTGCAGACCCACAGAGACAGACTGTACTGACCCACAGAGACAGACTGTACTGACCCACAGAGACAGACTGTACTGACCCACAGAGACAGACTGTGCAGACCCACAGAGACAGACTGTGCAGACCCACAGAGACAGACTGTACTGACCCACAGAGACAGACTGTGCTGACCCACAGAGACAGACTGTACTGACCCACAGAGACAGACTGTGCTGACCCACAGAGACAGACTGTACTGACCCACAGAGACAGACTGTGCTGACCCACAGAGACAGACTGTACTGA